TTTAACGCTTCAAACAATTTAATAGCAAATAAGAAATATTTTATTTTAAAAGCTTTTAGCCGAAATTACATATTATACATATCAGAGTTGGGCAAAACTAATATAATGGTCATTGGCGACTAAATTTTTATTTCCAAAAATATTTATGACTAATATAAAACAATAAATGGAAAAAATATTATGTTTTATTCATTTCAATCCAAGACAAAATAAATTAGCCAAATTTATTTTGAATAACATTTTAAAATACAAAATATTAAAAAGATTTTGTATTTTTATTATAAAAAAACAAAATATCTTCTGGTTGACGATCACCATACAATACAACCTCTATTCAGTAACTGATTTTGTTTATTTTTAAAATGAAATAAAATGATTTTTTTTTATTTTGAAAAAAAAATTAAATATATTTTTTTGTTAAAAAAAATATATAGTTACAATATATTTTGTATTCTGCTTCTTGAAATACAAAATACAAAAATGTTCATTAAAATACTTTATTTGCAATACTGACCAAGACTGCTTAAATAAAAGTTTTTTTTTCGTTTCAAGCTCTGTTTTCTAGACAAATTGATGGACTTAGTTTAATTTTTGTATTTTAAACTTGAAAATAAGAAACTGTTATACGGGTCTTAGTTCTTAATGGTCAAAACGTGAGGGGAGATTCAGGGGTGAGACACCCTGTAAAACGGTTTACAGTTTTTGAATTACATATTAAGAATATTAAATACTTCACGAGAACTTTCGCAAACTTCTAGTTCCTGTGTAAGAAAGGAATCCTATATAATATTTCTAAAAGGTGTTTTTTTTTTTGTCGGTCTTCGTCAATTCTTCATCAAATTCAATGATAGACCACGCCTTTTGAAGATATTCTTCTACTTTACATGTGAAAAATAGTCCCATCCCCGAAATTTCTGGAAAAAAAGTTATGGAGGAAAAGAAGTTTTATTTGCGAATAACTCAAAAAGTATGCATTTTTTTCTAAATTGTACCCATGAAAATAACTAAGATTACTAAATTACCTACAAAACAAAAAAATCGTAAAAATCTGACAATTATTAACAAAGATACAGTCCATTAGTTTTGGTACACTTAATATTGTCTTCCTGTTTAAAGATATTGGATTTAGGAGTAGAATAGTCTACTACACTTTTTCCTGACTTTTATATTAACTTTATTATTTTTTAAAGCCATTTGGTTGTTCTTACATTTTATACTTTTTTTATAATTTAGAATATCCTATGATCGAGACATTATTTTGCCTTTATTACTTTTATTATCTTTTCAGTCAGCATTTAAAAATAGGTCATAGCAAAGCAATTTGTATAAATATTTTGGTCTATTATGTTTAACGGAATATTGTAATCGACTAAGGAAAAAATATCCATTCCTTCCTTACATAATACATAGGAACTACTTATTTCCATACTGTTTTACTATTTCTTCACTAAACAAAAATTTCTGCGAATTTTTCGAACGGGCCAACTGTTATATCTTACTAGAAACCCATTGAATCTTTTTTTTCGTAAGTCATTGATCAATTTTGATCCGCCTCAAATAAATATTAATAATTGGGGCAAGAAATGCCAGGAGGTAGTCCCATGCATGCATTACACAAGATAGGCCGGGGCTATCGCGGAAGAGATGTTACCTGGGCCCGGTGTTGAATACTGAGCAGCTCGGCCGCAGCGAAGGGAATTCCCCTCAAAGGAAAATTCGGGGTTAGCTAAGGTCAGACCTACCCGATGGAAGCGCCCTCTGAATTCAAATGTACTTTTCTACTTTTATTTTTTAGATGAGACTTGAAATTATTGATGAAATTATATGGGTCATCTAAAAAATTACAGCGAAAATTATGCGTGAAAAAAAGTGATATCAAATTGCTCATTCAATTACTAGTTAACTGCATAGACGATAAATTATTATAATCTATTTTATTTTTTTTATCCACTCTCTATTTATAGAAATTTCCAATAAGGCGAATCAATTAAAATAATAAATATTCAAAACAGAGAAAGAAAAATGTTTTTTTTCCAAGCCTGTTCTGACCTTATATACTGGGTAGATACAGAGACAGATAGATAGATAGAAAATAACTTTATTCTGGAACACAGTCCCTTGAGAATAACAAAATAGAACAAAATTAAAAGATTACATCTGGCCAAAATAAAATCAATCGAAAAAAAGTAAGAATGTAAAGAAAATATAAGGTAAACGTTCTATATACAAAACAAACGAAATTATATACAAAACAATTAACGCTATGACAAGACACTTAAAGCTATTTGCACTGATAGACCAGTATAAACTTTTAAGAAAACGATGAAGAATTAAAAAATAAATATATATTAAATTCTTTATTAAAATACAAACAAATGCTTATAAATATGTCAGTATTCTCATCGCTTTTTACAAGATCAAATAGTCCTTTGTATTGCAAATTCTAATATTTATTGCAATATATTATTAGTAATCTACAGTATATTTGATACAGAAATATAGATCTTATTTTTTCGTGTGTCTGGAGCGACGGGTTTGGATTAACGAAAATCAAACTTATTATTTATCAAAAACTATAATAAAAGTCATTGAAAACATTAGAAGGTTTGACCGAAGTTCTGTTGTTAAAAAAAAATAATAATAAATTACTTGCGATTGTTTAAAATCATAATCCGACTATACTGCATATACGCCACTTTTATAAAAAACTTCTAGTTTAATAAGCTTTAAGTCCTTACTATACCTTAGTTGAGTTTTATTAGGCAAAATATGAGGATCAGCTGAAGTTGGGAAAAGAAATGATTTCTTTCGCAAAGCTTTTATTTTATTTGTTTTTTATTTCAGTAGCACTTAAGGTCTGCTATAACTCCTATGAAAATTTCCCTCTTCTAATTTTATTTATTTATTTATTTTATTTTATGTTCTAATTTTATTTACATAGGTTATATTATCTATTTTATTTTATATTTATATGTATTTATTTTATTACTGTTTTAAGTGAATATTATTTTACATCTTCACACAGATCTTTGAATTTAAAGGAAGGAGATGGTCCGGGGTGGCGGTAAAACTATTTTATTTATCAGGCTTTTAATAAAATAGTTTTACCATTATTTAGCCTGTTTATGACCGCCACGCCGGACCATATCCTTCCCTTATAATACAACGGTCAATTATTAAATATTCAATCTTTGAATTTAGTTTTTCTTTAATGAACTAAGCTTAACTAAAGTTACGAAAAAATGTTGCTCACTTCGCAACGTTCGTCATGAGACTTTACAAATGAAATACGTATAACATTAACTATATTTATATGTAAGAGAGCATGCGGTTTGAGGAATACCAGTATAATAAGATACTAATGCTTCTATAGAACTGACACTGATTATATTTTTTTTTTTTTTTTCATAAAATAGTCTCAAATAGTTTAGTACTGTTAGAAAACTAATCTTCTTTAGTTACAGGAATAGATAATAACAACTACAGATTTATAAACGTAAAGTAGGACTAGGTGTGGCTTTGAAGGCATAAATAAAATTAAACCATGTAAATAAAAAAAAACGCATCAATATAAAGAAAAATATTACATTTTAGAGATTTTGGACTTACGGTTTTTGAGTTACAAATTTTTAAAATAATGAAAAGCCTCGAATTACGGCCCGGTTTTAAAATAGTTTTAAACCTATTAGACCTGGAATGCTGAAACCGGTGTCAGTTATTTACGTTCTTTCTTTTGATATACGACATGATTATATTTTAAAAATATAGTATTTTTCAAAGAAAACCAAAATCTTAATTTTGAAATTTTGAACAAAAAACTTTTGATGTTATTCTAAAATATGGTTGCTAAAAGTGAAGAAACAATGGGTTCAAAAGATAAAAAATGTTGACCTAGAGTAGGTACACTGAAAACGGCGTCAAGGTCCGCCAATATTAAAATTTACATATTTATTAATTTAAATGTATGCATATGTATATATATATATATATATTATATATATATATATATATATATATATATATTGTAATATTTTTATTTTTATCTCTTATTTATCTCTCTGTCTGTCTGTATGTTATTGCCGACGTTTGTCTTTTAAAATCTGAAATCTGTCCTTCTAACCCTTAATCTTTCTGTTAGTCAATTAACCTGGTATTCGTGTATCTATTTAAGTTTGTAAGAATGGGGTGTACAAGCTTAGATAGGATGAGAAGGATAAGGTATATAAGGTAAGACCGCCAAGAATGATAGGGGGACAACCCCTACACATCCAGGGCTCTGCAACCGAGGAGGCAATCCCCTGACGTTGCGAGGATAGGATAAGACCGCCAAGAATGATAGGGGGACAACCCCTACACATCCAGGGCTCTGCAACCGAGGAGGCAATCCCCTGACGTTGCGAGGATAGGATAAGACCGCCAAGAATGATAGGGGGACAACCCCTACACATCCAGGGCTCTGCAACCGAGGAGGCAATCCCCTGACGTTGCGAGGATAGGATAAGGTAAGACCGCCAAGAATGATAGGGGGACAACCCCTACACATCCAGGGCTCTGCAACCGAGGAGGCAATCTCCTGACGTTGCGAGGATAGGATAAGGTAAGACCGCCAAGAATGATAGGGGGACAACCCCTACACATCCAGGGCTCTGCAACCGAGGAGGCAATCCCCTGACGTTGCGAGGATAGGATAAGACCGCCAAGAATGATAGGGGGACAACCCCTACACATCCAGGGCTCTGCAACCGAGGAGGCAATCCCCTGACGTTGCGAGGATAGGATAAGACCGCCAAGAATGATAGGGGGACAACCCCTACACATCCAGGGCTCTGCAACCGAGGAGGCAATCCCCTGACGTTGCGAGGATAGGATAAGGTAAGACCGCCAAGAATGATAGGGGGACAACCCCTACACATCCAGGGCTCTGCAACCGAGGAGGCAATCCCCTGACGTTGCGAGGATAGGATAAGGTAAGACCGCCAAGAATGATAGGGGGACAACCCCTACACATCCAGGGCTCTGCAACCGAGGAGGCAATCCCCTGACGTTGCGAGGATAGGATAAGGTAAGACCGCCAAGAATGATAGGGGGACAACCCCTACACATCCAGGGCTCTGCAACCGAGGAGGCAATCCCCTGACGTTGCGAGGATAGGATAAGACCGCCACGAATGATAGGGGGACAACCCCTACACATCCAGGGCTCTGCAACCGAGGAGGCAATCCCCTGACGTTGCGAGGATAGGATAAGGTAAGACCGCCAAGAATGATAGGGGGACAACCCCTACACATCCAGGGCTCTGCAACCGAGGAGGCAATCCCCTGACGTTGCGAGGATAAGATAAGACCGCCACGAATGATAGGGGGACAACCCCTACACATCCAGGGCTCTGCAACCGAGGAGGCAATCCCCTGACATTGCGAGGATAGGTAACCCTACACTCCCAGGGACAACCTGGAAGATGCAAGGGGGACTGTAGGAAAACAAGGGCCAACCAAGTTATTCCTACGAAAGGAGAGAGGAGGTAGGTTAGGAGAGAAGAGAGAAGGAGGAAGGTAAAACCAAAAAATAACACATTGGTCTGGTTTCAAACTGTCAGACAGAGAGATACCAGGAGCCTATGTGAGAAGGTGACTCGGGAGAGAGTACCTGCCCTAGGAATCAGGACAGTATTTAAACTAATAACCAGCCCTCAGACCTGTTTTCAGGTTGGTGAGAGGCTACACTAGTAACAATTATTTTAACTAGGCCCTGAGATCTCTAAGTCCAAACTCCTTTTATTTTTATTTAATTATAGTACATGAATACTTATTTTAAAAATATTACAAACATTAGTTATTTACAAAATCAGTAATTACAAAAAGAAATAATAAATAGCTTCAAAATGAAATTCATAGTTCACTAGGAAATTAACAGGTTGCGCTACTAAAATTATTAATCATTATTAGAAAAATCAATGACTTGCATAAATGAATTAAATAGTTCATTAGAACAACGCCTAGAGGGCGCCACGCGCAACCTCCAAAACACTATACCACTAATCATTTACAATTCAACCTTTGACAGAGAAGGACCTCCCATCCGTTAGCTCTAATACATTGTACCTTTTAATCCTTATCGCTAGTTAAATGTTATTATTGTTTGTTTTTAATTTCAAATTAAATCACAACTAAAATTAATACAATATCTAGAAATAAATTAAATTTATAAATATATTACATATAAATGCTCCTTTTTACACAGTTCAATAAAAGAACAAAACGTGAACATGAGTTCTATTAACAATTACAATTTATAAAGGCCCTAATAAAATATGTTACAATATATATATATATATATATATATATATATATATATATATATATATAGTCACCTCACCATCTTCAACAATGCCAGATAGGATGCCTTGAAGAAGGCAATGGAGGTCGAAACGTTGAACAATGTCCAATGACAATGGGTATCCCCTCTCCTATTGGTTCAGAACTAAAACTGTAACCATGCAAAGGTTTATAATTTTGTATTTATAATTCCACTTCAGATATCTATATCTCTAAAGAAACTTGAAGACAAACCTTTTAATGAGGGACAATTTTTAATAAACAATATTTTTTTTACCTACGGAAATGTACAAGTTATTTGAATAAAAAAATTGAAGACTTTTTAATTTTATTTTCAAATTGTACAGTCGCAATTCAAATAGTTGGTAATTATAATTTTAAACCGTTTATTAAAGAGGATTTAAAGGAATAGTTTAAACTTTTAAATTGAAGGATGGTAAACCGCACTGTTGAGGAAAATTGAATAAATATTATATTTCTAAGAACAAAGCATATTGCTGTTTATATTATATCTTTCCGGAATTCAAATTCCTTATAAATAAAACGTTCCAACCAAACTGTAGAGAGAAGGTGGATTATTTAGTAGTGTTTTCTTAATAGAAGAATAATATTACATTCTTCTTGTGTTGTTATATCTACTCTGGATACTTTTCTTTTGTTTATTCTAATTAATTTTAAGCGGTTTATTATATCATACGATTTTTTTTTCTTATTGTCTAACATTTTAGTTATAAAGGAAGAATAATTATAGTTAGAATTAAACTTTTTGATTTAGGACATTTTATTCATAAATCGATCAGAAATTCTGAATCTCGTAACCGAGATGATTAAACGATTCGATTCTTTTTTGTCATTCTACTCTAAAGATATTTTTTCGTATTGAAAATGTTTAGATCATTTGGATTCTTAAATATAAATTAAATTAAAATAAATAGAGTTGTTTCATTCGTATTTTAAGATTAGATGAATACAGCAGTGAAAATGTTGAACGAAATAATAAAACCCCAACATATAAATCGTTGTCCAACAGGATTTGCTAATAAGCAAAACTGTTTCTACTTATCAACCGATTCCAATATCTCGACTCCACAACAACCTTAAAAAATGACCAACTGTAAGAAAAAGATTTGTATTACAGACCCCTTCTTATTAAATTATTAACATTCAATGGCTTCAACTTGTCATAACCTACAAATTTTTCATCAAGAAAATTCCCAGAAATGGGGCTGATTTCTTGTTAAATTAATTAATTTAATGAGGCTCTAAAGACTCATAAATTTCCACTTTCTCATCAATTGAATCGTCAGATAATTTGTTTACAAAATCGAAAAGAAGTTGATCTACGAAAATATTGGGCCGTTTGGCCAATATAAACTCGTTATTTTGACAAGTTGAGAGTCGAGGTCACGCCAAACAGCCCAATCTTTTTGTAGGACGACTTTTTTTTTTTAAATCATGTGATAAAATTATCTTACGAATCAAGTGGAAAGCAGATGGGTATTCATGAGTTTTTTGTACCTCATTGAATTGACAAAGTTCGCCAATTTCCAGATTGAATACGCCCCAAGCTCGGGAATTTCCGTAAATAAAAAACGCATAGCTTCCTCAAAGTTTTCATTGGCTAAAATATATCTATATTACAAGGTCTAAAATTTTTCGATCTTAATCCCTCAACATATTAGGGTTTGATATCCACAAAATAGAGTTTTGTTTATCAACGAATACTAAATGAGTTCCGCATTTTCAGATTGCATGTTTGAGGATTAGAGATTAAAAAAGAAATCAAGTGTATACTAAACATGCATATCAATACTGTTAGTGCATTTTTGCTGTCTTGTGTAAAAATTGAGTGTTTCACAGAATATCATAAAAACTAACAGTTTCTTTTTGATTTATTAGTATGATTTCATATTTTATTGTCCTATTTTATTTACCATCATAGCAAACTGTTTATATCAGTTACACACTACAAAATGTCAACTTTAGAGCAAATAGAATAAAGTTGACAATTTTTACATACTATCTTTTGCACTAACAGTAGTGATTGAACAAAAAATCTATAGAAAAAATTCAACTCTTTGTTGGTTTGGAGTTAACGAGACCAATTTTCTCCAGTCAGTAAAAAATAAATTAAGCTGGAATATAAAAATATACCTGAAGTTCACACAGCTTTGATATTTAAGGAGGGAATCGAGATCATTGCGAGCTGGTTGCACTTCAATAGAAACAAACACATGAAAAATATAAACAAATAAAACATCAGAGTAAAAATTAATTTAAATGTATTCAAAATTACACGAAATCTAAATAATTGTCATGGAAGTTTGGAACGGACCAAAAAAAGCAGTATGAATTATTTTTTTGATTAAAAAATAAAATTTTATAATCCCATAAAAATATTGTGTTAACCCAACTCGCACGTGATCAATGCATTCCACATTTCACAGCAATTATATTGTAAACAATTATTTATATTGATATCAATTATGCAATGAAATTGATACTTGCTACACTATTCTCCAATTTCCACCAAGTTTAGGTCAAATAAACGCGCAGTTTTCAAGCAATTGGCGTGTCAAATAATACTATATCCTGATATGAAAGTGGAAATATGTTTTTTTGGAGTAGCGGGCAGAATTTGATAAAATTTGTACTTATCTGTTTACCAATCTCTAATTTAGCTACAAAGTTGAGCCAAATCGAACATGAGGTTTTAATGATACAGCCGTATCAAAACGTTTGCGGATATAGAAGAGATAGTAGTAAACAGAATTCAATAAATCTTACACTACGTTATTATTTAACCAATATTATTTAACCTACCTTTTATCAAACTTTGAGCCAAATCTAACGAAATGTTTTTGCAATATTGGCATATCTGAAAAAATACGTTTGCGCGTACGTAAGCGGAAGTGCTAGATCGAATTTGATAAAATAGATATGAGACCGTCTAGAAGCCAAAAATTGCATGAAAACCGGATTAACGGTAGTACAGAGTAATAGACAGACGTCGAACCAAATTTGATCCTTGATGTATGAAACGTAAAACGCAAGTGAAAATTTTGATTCTGAGTACAAATTTTTTTGTGCTTGGGGAAGTACCAATAAAAAACTGTCGAAACAATCGATATCTCAAGGTTATAAGGTATGGAGGGTAACACTTTATTGACCGGCAATTTTAAACAGAAACGATGACATGTCACAGACTATTATTTTGTGATGTATGTGCAATGACGAGTTAACTCGTCCCCGATAGGAACCTATCAAGAAACTTCTACTGAACAATGCATGAAGGAAGCCAAAAACCATATGACTAAATCGAATCAACAAAGATACAGCAGAGCTGTGTGTAGCTGTGCAGACTAGAAAGCAATACGTTTGAAAATAGGTTAACATTCAACAAAACCAATAAATATTCAATAATAGTAAAATTACAAGATTTAGCCACACATTCATTATTAAATTAATTTTGTGTTGGCAGTCATTCAGATACTTTCTCTTACTAATAGTTTTGACAAAATAACCAATAAAATTAATTCCTTCGACAAACTCATCCTTCTAATAAATAAAATAAAAATTAAAGTACTTTCAAGTAATCCATCTCCTGTTTTTAAAAGAAATCAATACCCTAGAGCTTTTCATGTACTAATGGTGCTGGTATAGTACACTTAAGGTATAGAAACTGGGTAACCGATAGGTTCTAGAATATGTATGAACTCAGTGTCCAAATCAAAGGCTAAGTAGTACAGGTCCATTCTGAGGTGCACCGTTACTCTAACCTGAGATAATACATACATATATAAATATGTATATGTTTGTAATGAAAGAAGATTTTATTAAATTAAAAAATATATACATAAATAAAGATCGGCACACATGAAACTGACCTTAAAATGTGTAATTTTTTAATTGAAACATAACAAAAATATTTAATCACCAATCATCACAATTCAACGTTATGCTCAATGCTTTTCAGTTTTAGCTAGGAAAAATCTTTAATATATTTTTTTTTATAATAAAATATACCTGATTTTTTTCATTAA